CACTCTGATTTACTAAGATAAACTTGTCAAGAAATAACTTCAGCCGATTAGCAAGCACTTTAGACACAACTTTATAAATCACATTACACAATGCAATCGGCCTAAAATCCGCTATATGATCAACCTTGCTTTTTTTTTCAGGATAAGGGAAATGAAAGTTTTATTCACATATGCAAGCATGGGAGCACCCCGAAGCATAGATAGAACAAGATTAAACACTGAATCCCCAACAATATGCCAATAGGATTGAAAGAATAAAGGACACATACCATCCGGCCCCGGAGCCTTAATCAGATGCATTGGATTTAGCGCCATCTCCATTTCCTTTTTTTTATACTCGGTCCTCAAAGATGTGTTCATATCATGGTAACTCTCACTTGGAACTGCTGCAATGCTTCATTGATGAGAGGCGGGTTTGACGTACTGAACAGACCACGAAAATAGTCAACAACGACTTTTCACACGACATCATCCGCGGAGTGAACTACCTCGTCATTATCTTTAAGGCTCAAGATTGAATTTTTTTCTTTTGCGATTAGATGCACGCTGGTGAAAAAACCTGGTGTTTTTATCGCCTTCTAAGAGCCAGAAGACACGAGAGCGCTACTTCCAATGTATTTCTTCGTGGTGGACAAGCCCTGCTATATCTCGAATCGAACCACGATAGTATTCCAGCTTTGCCGCAGAGAGACCTCCAATGTTCAGTTATTTCAATATTTTCCTTTTTTTTTTCTAAGTTCGCGGAAAATTTCCGGCCTTGAACTTTTAGTACTCCATTCTTTAAGATCTCCAGCTAGCACACAAAGCTAACTTTGCCTCCACATCCACACCCCCAATCCAAGCATTCTCAATAACCGATTCACAACTATCATCAGATTGCCAAACTTGCTCAAATCTAAATGGTTTATCTTTCAATCCCTCTTGAACACGATTCCACAAAACAAGTTTTATTAGAGCATGATCCGACCATTCACGATCAATATGAACAATATTTCAGTCAGGCAATAAAGTTATCCACTCCTCCACCGCCATAGCCCTATCAAGCCTACATTGGATATTTTCATGCTCATCTCTTCCATTATCATATGTAAATTCATAACTTGTAATTGCATAACCTGTAAGAAGAGAGGGGACATCGAGATACCAGGTAATGTCAAGCAAATTCAAGCGGTGGTTGCAAGATGTCGAGATCTGATAGGTACACAGTGTGGTATGCAGTTGGCGTGAATTGAAGAAGAACTCGTCAAATTGAAGAGGAAGAAGAATTTTAATTTGCACAAAAACGAAATCGAGGAGATAGAGAGGACTCAAACATTTTACAGGTTGGAGATCGGAGATCGTAAAGCGGAGGAATTTCGGCAACTCATATCTACCGTTAATCGAAAAAAGGTAAGTTTAAATTTGAATTTGGGGTTGAAGTGTTGTAGATCTGATTAGGGTTTAGGTGATTTGTCTGTTCGAACATGGTTTAATTTTCAGAAATGTCAGATAATTTGCAAATAATGAAGTGAACTACTGAATTACGAAAGTGTTGTAGTAAATTTGATGAACTGGTTAGTCTAATATTTTTACTGTTTACTACTTGTGGAAATCGTTTGTTTACCTAACGGACATCCCATGTAACTTAACATACTTGCCACCTCACACTTCCCCACCTTTGTCCAGTCAACAGGACCAAAATGCAAAAAGTTGGAATAAATTTCCAAAATGTCACTAGAGAAACAATTCTTGTTTCTCATAAAGAATAACTGGGCATCGCTCCTTCTCTACCCCTTTTGCCACTATTCACATCATTATCAACCTCCAAACGACTACCTCCAGTCACCCCTTTACCCTTCATACCAACCTTCTTCCCTTTCTTTCCTGCCTTCTTGACAGACTTGTTGCCCACTAAATTCAAAACAGAGAGAGCGTGGCAGCAAATCACTCTCTAGTGGACATAAAAACATATTATTGCTTACATGAACAAGTCCACAATCAATTCTTGTTTCTTAAGGTTAGTATATTTTGAAAAAATGGAGCATTGATACATTAACAAGCCAAAGCCAAAATATTTAAACTTATAAAATGAGATAATAAAAAATTATGGCTCTGAACTAACTACATCAAATGAGAAAAAGGCTAGTTGAAGGTCTCTAACTACATCAAATGAGAAAAAGGCTAGTTGAAGGTCTCTAACTACAATGTTGTAGTGTAGAACTAGAAGAGCAAAAAGTGTTGAGAGAAATTCTCTTCACCTTTTTTTAAAAAAAAAAATAGAAAATTTGTCAAAAACAATCTTTTAAAGTGATCATTTTATCAAAAACAACCTTATAAATTTTTTTTTGTTACTTCAGACCTGATTACAAAATTTATTTGTCAAAGACAACCTAAATCTACTTTTCGGCGTTGACCCTCTGATTTCCGGCATTGACCATAGTGTGCTTGTCACATGACCTCTTATTATTCTAAATGTACCCATTTTCCTTCCAAATCACTCACATAAAACCCCTGTTCTTTAACTCCCTCAATTTGGAGACAAAAATTAGTGTTCGTCATTCACTTTCCAACTCATCTCTGCAGTTACAAGCTCCATTAATGAAGACTTCCCAAATACTATAACAATTTATTGATGCAAGTATTTAATACAAACTTTCCTCTTTTATAGTTTTTTTTTTTTTTTTTTTTTTTTTTTTTTTTTTTTTTTTTTATGGTTTCTGCCATGGCTAAAAACAAAGGGAAGAGGAAACTTGCATCATCGTCTAGGAGGTTCAGGGAGACCACAAAGCACATTTGAATATTTTATATCCTTCAAATAAACCATGGCTACTGCATAATTGATAAATCGCTCGTCAATTAAATCGATTTGAAAAGATTTGGGAAAAAAACCCTAATTTTCAATAATACCCAATTTTCAAAATAATTTCTATACATTAAAGAAGGAGAAGCACAATTATACCAAGTTTGAAATTGAGGAATTACTTGGTTGAAAACTTTAAATTGCATAAACAATTAGTTTTTGTTGGTAATTAATCCTCGAAACTTTGTTGAAGACAAAGGATGAAATTGAGGAAATGAGAGATCAGGACTTTTTAAGTAGGAATTTTGAGGGGAAAGGAGTGAAATTAGCAAAAGTAAGGGTCACGTGACAAGCACACTATGGTCAATGCCGAAAATCAGAGGGTCAACGCCAGAAAGTAGGTTTAGGTTGTCTTTGACAAATAAATTTTGTAATAAGGACTGAAGTAACAAAAATTTTTTATAAGGTTGTTTTTGATAAAGTGGTCACGTTAAAGGGTGAAGATTTAATGTTCAAATAAAATCAAAACTAAGAAGCTCATTGATGCTTAACAAGCCAAAAACAATAATTAATTAATTACAATATTTCTAACTTTGCTTCGAATTTCTCTTTCATCCTCAAATTCATTCATAGGGGAAATTATGGATTTTGAATAAACTAATGTTTAATTGAAGTTAATTCTCTCAAATTCAATTGATGTTGAATCAAAATTAATTCAATAATCAAATTTGCATCGAACAAACACTAGGAAGCCATATACACGGAAAGTCCCTTATTCACCATCATAACATACGTGCACATACATACCAATGATAGATACTCACTCAATATGGGTGTTGTTAAACGTCGTTCGCAAATTACAAGTTGACGCTCGCATTTTTTACTTGAATATCCTAATCTGCCCCTCGTATATAAATACTCGGGAAACTCACTTCCGAAACTCACAAGTCATTTCACAACCCACACACACTCTCTCTCTAAAATTTTCTCACTAAAAAAAAAAAGTCAGAAATTTTTTTAAAAAAAAATCAAGAATTTTTTTTCAAAAAAAACCCCAAACTTTGAAAATCAAACAAAGAACAACGAACACCACCAATCAAAGGTTGAATCCGGATATGGCGGATCGACGACGCATTAGGCTGACATACGGTGGTCGTGGGGGCGGCGTTAGTGGCGGCGAGCAGGTTGGTTGTTGTTTAATTGTTTCTGATTTTGAAAAAAAAATTTCGTAAAACACAGACTTCCGCCTGAAAAATCCAAAAGTCTGAGAATTTCAGGCGGAAGTACCACATCCGCTTGAAATTTCCAGAAGTTTTCCCAGACTTCCGGATTTTCCAAGCGGAAGTCTGGGTTTTCTGATTTTTTTTTTGTTTGTCGATTTGTTTTTTTTTTTTTTTTTTTTCATATTTTTCGATTAATATATTTTTTTTTATTATTTTTGAGTAATATAATTTTATTTATTTTATTGTTATTGTTTTGTATATATTTTTTTTTATTAATTTCGGATTTTTTTTTTCGCGTGATTATTGATATGTAATTTTTGTTTTGAGTAATATAATTTTAATTGTTTTTATTGTTATTGTTATGTGTAATTGTTATGTATTATGGTTTTTATTAATTTTGGAATTTTTTTTCCGAGTGATTATTGATATGTTTTTTTTTTACTAATATAATTATATTGTTTTTGTTGTTATTGTTATGTATTTTTGTTATGTAATTTTTTCGTGATTAAAATTTTATAAAAAATTGATTGAAATTATTATTGTTGTTGTTATTACCATTATTATTATTGTTGTTGTTGTTGTTGTTGTTGTTGTGTTGTAATGTTGCCAATTTCGTGGTTTATTATTGTTTTGATTTGGTTTATTGTTATTGTTGTCAAATAATTATTAGTTATTATTGATCCTTGGTAATGTTGTTATTATTGTTTACTTGATTTGGTTTATTATAGTTTTGAAATGATATTTTTGAATTTGAATATTAGTGATTCAACTTTGATATCATAGTTGTGTGTGTAAATAATAATGAAATCTGATTTTGTACTTATTTAATGCAGATTGAGGGTTCGAGTGCTTGACATGCAAGATCAAGACGTTTGAATGCATTAGTTAGGAGGGAGTTAGGTGGTGCAGGACCTTCGGAGGCACCGTTTCATCATGAGCAGCAGTACAGGTCTGTTGGTACATGGTCGGGGGAGCATCAGTCAGATGGGAGCGCCCCCATGTACTCGTCGGGTAGAGTGCCTTCATCTGACGATGAGGACGATGAGCGAGCTAGTCATGCTGATCGAGATTCAGAGTACGACCCTCAGGATTATCGTACCGTGTATAGGGCTCAGCATGGGGGATTTGTTGATAGTAGTGAGCTAGGTCAACCTTCTACCAGCTCATCAGAGACATGGTTAGTACAGGAGCCGATGTCAGGTGGGCCTAAGGATGGTACTGTTATTCCTAGTTTTGGGGGTCACGTGGCTGCATATATATGGGGTGGGCAGGAGCGAAATGTTCTGCGGTGTTTGAGTAGGACACAGTTGTGTTCTGAATTGGGTAACTGGCGAGGTCGTCTGGCGCAGGAGCACCTGGAACTGATTGATGGCAGTGGTCTATCTCACTTACCCGGGATCATTTTCAGGCGATTTGACTGGCCCTTGATTTCTGCTTTTGTTGAGAGATGGCAGCCAGACACGAACACGTTTCACATGCCATTTGGAGAGATCACGATCATGCTGCATGATGTGTATCATATTCTAGGGCTTTGTGTTGATGGTTTCATGGTTTCCACTACTCCTAGCACGAACGTTTTACGGGACACGTGCTCGATTACCATGGATATGACTGCGGAAGAGTTGAATGAGAAGTGTGGTACTAAAACCGTATGGCAGGGTAGTGGGGTGCTGACTGAGAGGATAATGGAGTTGACCTTGGAGGCGCAAAGGCCCTTCAGGGTCCATTACAGGGCGTACTTGTGGTTAGTACTTGGCGGATGTTTGTTTTTTGACAAGGGTGGAAACCGTACTCATCCTTCCTTCCTCAACGAGCTTTTTATTGAGGATGTTCAGATTAGTGAGTACTCCTGGGGTTCTGCTGTGCTAGCATATATGTATCGGCAGTTGGGTACATCATCACGAAAAGATGCTGATTCTATCGCCGGTTGTCTTACGCTTTTGCAGGCGTAGATCTACGAGTACTTTCCGTGTTTTCGGACTCAGTAGGGGACCTTGACCAGAGAGCTTAATGTTCCTCGTGCGTCTGCTTGGGATGTTGGATCGGGGTGCCCCAACAAGAGCATGGAGCGCCTCCTCGCTTTTCGTGCTAGGTTAGATCATCTGATTGACAATGAGGTTAACTGGCTACCGTACGGAGTTGATCCAGCACGACGCGTGCCTACCACTCTATTCATTGGCTGCATCCAGTACCGTAGCATCATTGAGCCATATATGCCTGATCGAGTGGTTCGACAACTTGGATACGTCCAGGGCATTCCACAAGCCGTCATCAGGTCTGAGAAGGCAAAGAGACCGACGAACTTGAAGATGTATCGAGTAGACTTTCCGCCAGAGATGACATCTCCGATGTGGACTCGGTCTGTCCCTGGTGCGTCTTTCAGTGTGGTGTTAGCTCCCCTCAGCAGACTTGGTGGTGGTGCTCCTACAATCGATCCTGGTTACAGGCAGTGGCTGTTACGATTTTCTCATCCTCGTGTTTCTCCAGTTGCGTCATCACATGGGAGTCGCGCACTGCCAGAGAGAACTAACACGAATTACGTAAGTACTTGTGTTTTTTGGTACTATAATTATCACTACAAATACTTGTAATTTGTTTAATATGTTGTTTTTTTAATTGCAGTGGATGGGTCGGTCCATGGAGGTTATCAACAGGACACTGGAGGAGAATTCGAGCTTGTTGCGTGATACAAGAGCAATGGCTGAGGCACTACGAAATGATTGGAGGGTGATGATGGGGTTGTGAATTCCCTGTTTATTAGTTTTTTTTGGGTTGTACGCATTTCGTTTATTTACTCTACATTCGGCATGTATTTTAAGAATTGGACTATTGTTTTTGTGTGGTTTTAGTTGAAACTTTGTTTAATTTAAAATTTTTATTTACACTTTACATATTTACACTTTACATATCTACAACTGTTCAAAATAAATGAATGTACATAAATGCGTTCATTATCTAATTAACGCATCCCACATGTTCCTTCTAGTTGCTTAACGCTGATCCAAACCGTCAACACTTGGCTCGTGGTTCTCGGTCCACCAACCTGCAAGCGGGGGGAAGAGGTGAATCTGGTGCAAGGTCAATACAGATAAAATGTGAGCCCCCAACTGTAGCGATCACAAACTCTCGTTCAGGTGTAGTGACCCCTCTTCGTGCCCGTAACGGCAAAATCGTGAGGCATGCGTAGTAGCAGGTTGGTATGGTGCCAACACCAAGAATAATAACCATTGCGTTGAACCAATTAGAAATAGGAAATAAATCTTGAATTGTAGCCATCCAGTGACGGGAATCAACCACCTCACCGCTCCATCTTATTCGCTCCACATTGATCCCAAGTCTTCCAAGCCCATAAATCCTCTCGTACAGGGCTGGATAACCAAGGATCTCATTTGCTATTGTTTCTCGAGCGTCACACCATCGTCCTTGATCACCGAAGAAGAACTCGGCCACACAACGAAAGTCGCAGTTACCATCGCCGATGACATCCTTCCATCCTGTAATGTAAGGTAACATCGATCCTGGAAGCATGTGTCGATAACGACTTTGCCTAATGTCACATGGATCTTCTGCACAAATTTAGGGTTCAGTTATTAGTACAGTAAATAATGAAATACGTGAAAGTCACAGTAGTCAATCTTACCTGTTTGGCGTGCACCACGTGCAGTGTTCTAGCGGTTCACATGTTCAAAATAACAAGGATCACGTCTTGTATCATTGTTTCTTCGTCGACTACGAACCTGGTGGTTTACAGCAGGATCTCCGAGGTCAGAATGATCCGGATGCAGTTCTTCTTCAATGATGCGAGATACGTTTCGAAGAACAGCAGGATCACTACCGATTACCTTATCCATCATAAAACGAAAATATGCGGCGTCCTCGGCCGATTCATTACCGAACACCGGTCCATCATCACCATCACCGATAACCAAGGTCTTCCAGAACGGGTGAATTTGCCTGATATACAAGCCTGTCCCTACAGCTAGAGAGTCATGTGTCTGGCAAGCACAGGGCAAACCGTAGGTCACACGCATTGCACATCCACAACACTCATACACCTGATAGCTCAACTCCCTCACCCTTTTTGTTTCGTCATCGAGAACCTTCAAACAATGCTGAGACACCTTGTCGTTAATACGTGATAGTGGCAATTGTCGGTACTTCTGACCTATCTTCGACCTAGAAGCCACCAAACCATTACAAATTGCGATGATCTGATTACCAATAGGATTTTTGGCCTTTTAAATATAATTAAGAAATATAATTTTGTTTAATTAAAATATCCAAAATATCTATACATAATTCGGTTTTTATTAAAATAAAATAAATGGATAATAAATCTTATCCAAAATCCAAAATAATAATTGAGTTTTGAAAATGTTTTTGGCATCAAAATTAAATATCATTTTGGTTCCAAAATTCAAAAAGAAAATAATTTACTAAAATGCCCTTTTTAGAAAATAATAATTAATTAATTAATTGAAAATACGTCTCAAAAACATGGGGTACTACAGCGAGTTTCCATGACGAATGAATATAATGCTCTCACTCGTAATCTTACTTGGAAACTTGTTCCGCCTTCCTGTACTCAAAATTAGGTTGGTTGTAAATGGGTGTATCGTATTAAATATAAGTCGGATGGATCAATTGACCGCTACAAAGCTCGTCTTTTAGCTAAGGGGTTTCATCAACGGCCTGGTATAGACTACTCTGAGACATTCAGTCCCGTCATTAAACCCACTACAGTTCGGCTCATGCTATCTCTAGCCGTTACAAACGGTTGGACTATTTGGCAACTCGACATTAACAATGCATTCCTTCAAGGCTCTTTAAAGGAAGATGTATATATGTCACAACCACCCATCTTTCTAGACAAGGATAATCCCTCTCATGTTTGCAAACTTCAAAAAGCAATATATGGTCTAAAACAAGCAACACGGGCTTGGTATCAAGAGTTTCGTGCTTTCCTCTTGTCTTATGGGTTTTTCAACTCTGCTACTGACCCCTCTTTGTTTATGTACCGTCAAAATGGTATAACCTTTTATCTCTTTGTTTATGTGGATGACATAATCATCACGGGACCCTCTACTTCAGCACTACAGGTCTTTATTGATCGTTTGGCAGCAAGCTCTCACTAAAAGGCCTTGGTAACTTGTCATACTTTCTTGGTGTTAAGGTGCTCCTTCTGTAATACATTGGAAATTTCCTTCCTTAAAAATACTCCTTTTACTCTAAATAAAACCCTTTTTAGGAAATAACCAAAATATTACCGCCACCGTGATAACGGCTAAGACAAATTTTCAAAGTCTCACAACGGAATTCTAAAAACAAAAACCAATTTTAAAATAAAGTTTGAGTTCACAACCTCAAAACAAAAGTAAAATAAAACATTTACAAGTTGGAACCAATTCAAACATGACCCTTCTTAAAAACCAATTAAAAACAAACATAATAATGTAAGTCCATAAACAATAACCAATAATTCAAAAAAATATTAAACGAAGAAACATAACAAGTAACTCTCTGCCCTCTATCCCATCATGCTCTTCATGCTTCAAGTACCTGCTACTTCCTATTTATTCAACCCTCTACTCACCATATAAATAGGTCATAGTAAGGCCAATTCGAAGGAAAGCCAAACACAAACATAAGAGTACGAATCAGCAAAGCTGAGTACATATGCACCACACTAACATGAATATCCTAGCATCCAAAATACAAACACTAATTAAAACATGCTTGCCACACAATCACAAGTCAATTTACCTTTGACTCATAACTAGTAATATTAATTATTAATATTAATTTTGGATTACGCATCGAACGGTTTTCCTTCCTTGAAAATAACCCATTTAATTAACTATTGAGCTTCCAATCAGGGGGATACTCCAATTGGCACCTATTATGTCACCTTGTGACGGAATTCCAGCGCATTAATAATAGAAGAAAGTACAACATCCTGTACCCCTGTAGAAGCTATGGTTAAAATATAAAACCCCATAACTTCCCCCATATGTTTATACTTAAGGTATATATGTTCCAAGAGTTTTGGTGTGTATCTTCTTATACTTTACGTGATTTTACCGATTTAACATGTGATGACTCAAACCAATTAATCAAGAACAAACATAATAATAATCAATGCATACTTCCAATTCATTCTTGAATTAATTAGTGAGCACATACTATTTATTTTAATTAAGGTTCCTTGCCTAGTTTTGTGCGCAAAATTGCACGATTACTACCTTGGTGCATAAAATGCACTACTAAACTTTCTTGACTCAAACTTAACTTACATGAGCGAGTAAATAAATAAACTAACTTCTTGACTCAACACCAATAATAAATGGGTGAGAAATAAATTCATGAATCATGCTTAATAATTCTAACTTTAGCTCTTTAATTCATATATAAGCCTTGCTTATTAAATACATGCCTTCTTGATTCTTGAAAATAAAACATACTTCCAGGATTCATACATATTCAACTTGTGTCATGCCTCAAATAATATATTCACATGTTTGCATAACAATTCATGCTCAACCAACATCAATTCCAAGCATATAATCAACCAAACATGCTACTAATTCATCACTTACTTCATACTTTACAAATCCTAGCATGATACTACGCATACACAATTATTCTTGTGCACATATGTACCTTGAAAAATGCTTAAACTCGGCCACACTTGCTAGAAATCACCTAGCTCGAAGTTTCCTACAAATAAGAATACATAACTATAATTAATCTATTATTTTCACAAATTTTCAGCAACTATAATACTCTTTAAAACTTACTAATTAACCCAATTTAATGATATAAAGGCCATAAAACCTTTTCTTTAAGTGAGTACTTCAAATCCATTCAAAAAGACTTAATTTTTATGACTTAAATAAAATTCCAGCATACTTATTAAATATAAAACATCACTAATAGACTAAGAAATCATATT